TCATGCAGCTCAACCCCCTCATTTCCCGATGAAGGGAGTGAGGCCCAGCCAAGGTCACACAGCTGGTCAGCCTTTTAGCCAGAACCATGACCTGGGGCTGTTTTCATTACCTTCTGTTTTATAGTTGTTTGATTGTTTCGTGTGTGTTTTTTGGCCTCCCTAACCAGATGATTTGTTGTTAAGGGCTGAACCTTTTTTTCCTCTTCCAAAGATTTTTCTGCACTTCTGTATCCAGAGTAGACACACTAGAATGCTCGTGAGCTAGCCTTCTGTCAGTAGATGACGTGGTATATGACTGTTTTGGTATAGTACTGTTTTTCAGTATCTCCAGTTTATTATGTAATATCTAAAACATTTCTTTTATCCCATCTGTTAGTAGAACTAAGGAGCCCTGGTGACGCAGTGGTTAAAGCACTGGGCTGCTGACTGAAAGGTTGGCTATTGGAAACTACCAGCCGCTCCCTGAGAGTAAAGACCTGGCGATCTGCTCCTGTAAAGATTACAGCCTGGGAAACCCTATGGGGCAGTTCTTCTCTGTCCTGTAGGGTCCCTATGAGTCGAAATTGACTTGATGGCACATAACAACAATAACAGTTAGTAGAACTAATTAGCATTATATGTAATCCAGTTATTATATTCTCATAGTTGTCCTGACATAGAGATAGAACTAAATACCTCTGTGTTAAATAGATGATTAGATAAAATTTTATTTTCTTATTACTTGGAATACTCTGACATAGTACTGAGCAGCAAAGGCCATTTCTCAACATTTAATATGCTCTTCTATATTTCCTCTAAATGGTTGTGTGATTTAGAAGAAAAGCTTAGCTAGAACAGTGGCTTTTAACCTTGGCCATATCTCATTATGACATGCCCCCTCCCATTTCCCAAGAGATCACCTAAATTGGAACCTCTGAGCATCTTTGTGTTTAAAGAGCTCTGCAGTGATTCTGATCCAGAGCCAAATTAGAGAACCATTGGATTAGAGGAACAGTATCGTCGAGATGACAAAGGCCCTCATTTTAAGAATAAAGTTTTAAGTTAGTGAGGAGTGTCTGTTGGATGTGCATATAGAAATCTTGTAGAAAGGTACAGACTGATTTCATGCATCATTGAAATCACTCGATTGTGGATAACTTGATTACCCATGGAATATGTCTTTCAAGCTCACGTAGTAGATGAGTTGCAACTTCCAAAGAAACCCAAACCCGTTGTTGCTGAGTCGATTCCAACTCATGACAACCCCATGTGTAATGGAGTACAACTGCTTCATAGGGTTTTCTTGGCTGTAATCTTTATAGAAACAGATTGCCAGGCTTTTCTTCCATGGTGCTGTTGGGTGGGTTTGAACCACCAACCTTTCAGTTAGACAAGTACAAACTGTGTGTGCCACACAAACTTCCATAAATCCAGAGTGGAATTGATTAAACCAGTACTGTGGCCTCTACTTCTGCATTTCAGAAGTGATAGCAAACCTACATGATAACAAATATCTGAAATTAGAAACTGCTTTTTTTGTCATTTTAATGAGTGGTGGCTGACTCAACCATTTGAGAATTGTAGTAAGGATAACTCTATGGGTGGATTTTGTAATGTCCATCTTACAATTGTCTATCAAATAAATTCTGTTCAGTGCATTCCTTCAGCATTGTATGTTTAACTGCTCACTGTTTATGAGACTGCCATATGGGTATTCCATTAAACGGAGTAAATAATAAGATGTTAATAAAATAAAATGCGTACATTAGAAAGTCATGGAACAGTCAAGTGGTCCCAGAAATTGAGTTTATAGCAGTGGAGAATTGGTAAAAGTTAATTTAACTTTTTTATTAGAACTTTTTCTGAGCTGTTCTTTGGGCAGAGTACAAGGGATCATACCAAAAGCCTGAGACTAGCTTTTGAGCCAAGGGATTTAGTTATTAAAGGAGGCAAGTTTGGATAGACTGACAACTGTGGTTTAATAGTAATTACATATTATTTATTATCTCTTGACTATAGTGAGACAGAGAATGATAGTTTTTTTTTTTTTAAACCTAGGAAGGACGTTGTTGTGTGCCACGGAGATGATTCTGACTCATAGCTACCCTACAGGACAGAGTAGAACTGTCCCATAGGGTTTCCTAGGCTATAATCTTTATGGGAGCAGATCACCAGGTCTTTTCTCCCAAAGAGTGATTGGTGACTTCGAACCACCAGCCTTTCAGTTAGTAGCCCAGTGCTTAACCTAGCCACTAGGACATGAGAGATCATCAGAACTCTAGAATTTTACAGATAAAGAAACTTTACCAGCAAAACAAAACGTGATAAACCACCTCTTAAAATTTAGAGCTGGAAGTTCATTATTTTACCTCCCAGTAGTGAGTCACGTGATTATAAATCCATGTGTATCTGGACCATGTGACGTTTTCATTTATTCATTGGAGAGTTGAGAGGGTCTGTGTTTAGCACTCAAGTATTGGACACAATTTAAATGTGAGTCAAGTGTGTCTAGAGGCTTTATTCAGACCGATTTTGTTTTAGTCAGCAATGCTTCACAATGCCCTGGTTTCGTGAATTAATTTTAATGGAATTAAACCTGAACAGCTCAAAATTATATAATTAATTTCATTCAGCTTCAATTAAAGGGACTAACTGAATCAAGTCTATTAGCATGACACCTGGCGGCAGTCAACTACATAACAATACGCAGGACTGCCGATGAACTAGTTCGTGTGTACGATGACTTTGTATAAAAATTTCTTGTATTGATAACCTCACAAAGGCCAGGAGTGGACTCCAGGAAAGATTTCTGGAGTTGTTTAAAAAAAGAGAGATTTTAATGGAAACTAACACATTTTGTGAAGATTATATTTTCTCTGTGGTAATGCTGAGTAAATGTTCCGTAAAGCTAGAATGTATTGATTTAGCATGCTTCTAGTTTATATTTTACTGCTATCTAATTTTGCTTTCTAAAAATAGAGTTGAAGACCCTATTTGTTTTTGGAGACCTTAGCTGCTGTACCTAGTCCTAAGTGGGTGTCCATCTATTTCCATGTGTTGAAATCTGTTTTATGGCAAAGTTTTTTCAATTGTTGTGAAATCCCCATGGTTCATGAGAAGTTTTTACATGTGCAGAAATTTTTTCCTTCCACTGGAAATGTTAACACAGTTGACTAATGACTTCTATTTGACTCTTTCCTTTCCTTGCTTCCATGGCCTGACGTCATTGAGCTTCGATTCCTTCTCTGACTCCCTTCTACTTGTACGGACTCTCTTTGGTGCTCTTTTAATATATTCACTTTTTTGGTGAACTCACTCATTGGGCAGGTTCAGCCATCAGCTTTAGGCAGGTAGGTGACTGTTTCTAGCTATGACTTTTTTTCAGACTTGCAAGTTCAAATGTCCAACCCTGAACTCATCCACTAGACTGTAAACTTCATGACGGCCTTGGCTGGATCTCATATTTCACTATATCCCCATCACATATAGCACAGTGCCTAAACATCTACTATGTACAAATACATATATTTTAAATGAAGAGATTAACCTCCTAATCTCCAGGTTTTCCCAATCAAATCTGGACTAAGAACTCAGTCATCTTCAATTGCTCCTCTCTGATTATCTGTGCAAATCTCTAGTTAGTTTCTCACATTTGCCAACCAACCTCACCCCCACCCCCCTTCATCTTGTTATCCGGTTAATTAAGCTCTCATCAACTTTGATCTGGACTATAGCAAGTCTCTCTTTTAGTTTCCCTTATTGTGTTCTCCCTCTTAGATCCATCTATACTCCAGTGATTTTTAACGATGTAAGTGCAGTAGAATCACCTGAGCCAACCCTTCCTCCCTCTCTCCCATCCCCAGCCAATTGAAATCAAACCTCTGGTGGTGAGTCCTAGGAATCTGGTTGTTTTTTTAAACTCCCTGTGTGACTTAACGTGCTGCTGGGATTGAAAACCCTGGTGTGCACTCTGTTTCTTGATTTATTCACCTAATGTGGGACTCTGATTTCATGGTTCATAAAGCTTCAGTGCCTACCTTGGCTTATTTGTCTTGCTTTTAAATTAGGTCCAGATTCCCCACCTTGGCATTTAGATATCCACACTTTGTCCCAGATCAAACTTTTACAGTCTTATCCCCTAATGTCCCCCTCGAAGTAGTTCATAGTCCCAAGAGTTGAACCCCTGCCCAGGTGTCTGCATTGGGGTTTGTCCATGCTGTTCTTCTACCTGGAATGACCTTCCTCTCACCTCTACTTTTTGAAATCCTACTAATCTTTCAAAGACCATCCAACATGCACTTTTTTCTGTAATGATTTTCTTGACCTCTGAATCCTGATCAGTTTGTTGTTGTTTTTGCTGTTATTTGTTTTTTCTTCATTTGAACCTTTTTAATACTCTGAACCTCTCATTACGTGCATTTACCTGTGTTATAGTTTGCATTTTGTTTGACTTACGTTCCCTATAAGACCTTATATTTCCTTACGTTCTGGGTTTTCCCCTGAGAACTCATAACCCTCCCTCTCTGAGTCTGACTAACACAATCCTTAACTCTTCCCCATGTTTCTACAGAGAGAACTAGGTACTTGTTTTCTGTACTTCCTCACTACCCAGTGAGTCCTCATTCAGCTGCAGTCTGACTTTCATCTCCACCATTCATTGGAGTTTTGCTCCTTTCATGCTTTCCTTGCCTCCACCATCCCTTACATGTATGGAATCAGCCACTTTCATTCTTGATAAAACTTTTGCAGATCTTTGTATCATGACACATACAATAATTTTAAAAGATTATTTTTATTGTGTTTGTCTCTGTTTCCTCAATACTTGGCACATAATAGGTGCTCAGTAAATATTATTAAGTCCATAAGGGATGCGATAGTCAGCAGTACCTTTCCCATTTCCTTAAATGATGGCAGACTTAGAAGCGTTTAGAAAAATCTATAAACTAGAAAACAAATTGAGAAAAATGTATACATTTAATGACAGCAAATAAACATATGTACTTTTTTTTTTTTAAATACAGAAAAATGTGATGAAGAAAATACTGAGAAAGAGATAAGTCAAGCTGCCAGTAGTTGCTTTACACATGGAGAGATGCAAGACCAATCCATCTGGGGAAATCATTCAGATAGTGAACTCATCAGAAGTAAGTATTTTTAGAAAAAATAGGAATGATTTGGGGATATGACAATAATAATATGCTGTCAGTTAATTGTCACACATAATTCTATTGCAATTCTATAAATCAAGTTTATCTGATTTTTTTTTTTTATCATTTTAAAATATAGAGCTAAAACTGGGATATAAATAATGCTTTGTGTCAGCTTTTATCTTTTCTTTAGAAAGGATGAACTGACCTGTAAATATCTAAGTCTTTTTTATCCCCCAATAACTGATTTCCTCCCCCTTGGGCCCCTGGTGGCACAGTGATTAAGAGCTCAGTTGCTAATGCTAACCAAAAGGTTGGCAGTTCAAATCCACCAGCCACTCCTTGGAAACCCTGTACGGTAGTTCAGCTGCGTCCTTTAGGGTTGCTATGAGTCGGAATCCACTCAACGGCAACAGGCTTGGTTTTGGTTTTCCTTCCCCTTACCCTATTGGGAATGCATGATCTAAATGAACACGAACTTAGAGAATTTCTCTTTATATTATTTCTTATGTTATATTCTCCATAAAATCTTTTCAAATTTTGCAAATATAAGATCAATTTGATTTAATGTACATTCAACATTTTCAGTAAGTTATACTCATTTTTTTCTTCTTCTAAGATCCCAAGTGTATTGTTTTTAAATCCTTCTGACTCTGTTAGGTAGTTTACAGCTTATGGAGGGGGGAGTATCAGAATCCTCGCTGCCGGGTATTCCCTCTCATTTTAATGACTTTTTATGTAATTGAACAACTAGACTGTAAATATGGTTTTGTTGAAAAGTTGTAATTTTGACACATTGACTGTGGATTATTTTTAGGCAAGAGGCAATTTTGAGCATGGTGCAACTTATAGTTGACCAGATATTTTTTGATTTATGTGTTAAGCATGTTTAAAGTAAATATGTAGACAGTACTACTTGAACGTAATTTAAAAAAAAAAAGAAAACCATTGCTGTCCAGTTGATTCCGACTCATAGTGACCCTAAAGGACAGTGTAGAACTGCCCCATAGGGTTTACAAGGAGTGCCTGGTTAATTCAAACTGCTGACCTTTTGATTAGTAGCTGTAGCTCTTAACCACTGCGCCACCAGGGTTTAGGAATCCTCAATTGGGAAAATAGGTTATTTTTAGCTAGTGGAGATAATCTGCTACTCCATAATCTACCCAAAACCAGATGTACTACTGTTGAGTCGATTCTGACTCACAGCAACTCTGTAGGACAGAGTAAAACTACCCCATAGGGTTTCCAAGTCTAAATCATTACGGAAGCAGACTGCCACATCTTTCTCCCATGGAATGCCTGGTGGGTTTGAACTGCTGCTTCTGGTTAGCAGTCAAGCTCTTTAACCACTGGACCACTAGGCTCCTACTCCTACTCCATGACACATGTCCTTTAAAGAAATAGGAAATTGTTTCTGTTTTTACCTACTGCTAGTGTCCTGAAGGAAAGGGTGCTGGAGAAGTTCTGAACAAGGGAGGTAGTAGGGGTAAGGGTTAGCTACTTAAACTTACCTGAAATTTCAGACTTGGCCCTCTTTTATCCTCGCTTCTTCCATGCTTTCACAAACGTTCTCCCCATCTCTGCAGTTCTCTGTTTATCACCCTTTGGTGGTAAGTTATATAAGGTTTGGAAGGATTAGGTTATATGCTTAAGATTGGTTTTAAGTATAATCATAGAATTGTAAAGTTGGAAGAGAACTTATGGACGTTATTCTCCAAATGTTCCATTTTACGGATGAGGAAATGGAATCTGAGAGAAATAAAGTCATCTGCAAAAGACAACATAATTACTGGCAGAACAGGGACTGGAGGCACTGCTCTCAGAAGAGCTAGTCCCTAATTGCATGATACTAGTTCTTTTTCTTTTTAATTTTACTTACTGTGTTGTTGTTCAGAATATACGCAGCAAAACACCCACCAGTTCAGCAGTTTCTACATGTACCAATTAGTGACACTGATTACATTCTTTGAGTTGTGCAAACATTCTCACCTTTCTTTTCCAAGTTGTTGCTCTCCCAAAAACATAAAGTCACTACTTCCTCTGGTTCCTATCTCATCTTTCAAGTTGCTGTTGTCAATTTGATCTCATATAGATCTTAAAAGAGCATAATGCTCAAAACAAACATTTTTTCCTAGTTAAGCTAAACTGTTGTTTGGTTTTAAGAAAACTTCAGAGAATATTTTTGGTTTAGAGTTCAAAGATTATCTCAGGGCAGTAGTTTCAGGGGTTCATCCCACCTTCATGGCTCCAGGAAGTCTGGAGTCCATGTGAATTTTAACTTCTGTTCTGCAATTTCCCCCTTTTGATCAGAATTCTTCTATAGAATCTTTCATCAAAAAGTTCAGTAGCAATAGCCAGACAGCATCCAGTTCTTCTAGTCTCATGGCAAAAGAGGCAGTTGTTCACGGAGGCAATTAACATACCCCATATCCTCTTCCTGTTCCTAACTCTCCTTCTTCCTCTGTTGCTTCAGGCGAATAGAGATCAATTGTTGTGCCTTGGATGACCACTTGCAAAGTTTTAAGACCCCAGGCACTACACAACAAACTAGGAGGTAGAACAGAAGCTCTAAACACATTGTTAGGCCAGTTAACTGGGACGTCCCATGAAACCATGACCCTAAACCTCCAAACCAAGGAACCAAATCCCATGAGATTTTTGGTTGTACATAAGCAGCCTCAGCAGCAACTCTTTTTTTGGTCATTGTAAATGTATCTATCACACAACTTTTGCCAGTTCAACTTTTTATAGGTGTACAACTTACTGACAGCAACTACAGTAATCAGCTGTGCAACCCTACCCTTAATCAATGTGATATTTCTGTCACCATTAACCGGTACTAGTTCTTGATTAGATAGAGAGCTAATGCCAGAAAGTAAATGATATTGTTGCTTCCATCATTGAGAAAGTCATGCTTTAAAAAAAAAAAGGAACAAAAAGAATCTGCTGAACTCAGCAATGATGTCCTTGATTTATATTCTGGATTCAGCTCCTTGTCTTCTCACAGGAACAATTAGCAGACTGGTACCAGTCAGCGGACCTTACTTTGTGTTATTGGACTAGAACATAGGACATCTGACTCCTATCACAGTCAGCTGCTCTTCAAAATTGAAATTGTGAATGGTAGGAAGTTGGAACTTGAGCAGGAAGTTTAGATTCCCTGCAGTCAAGATCCTGGGATTCTGTGAAAGGCAGTTACCATGCTGTCCCACAACACTTAAGACAGACCTTGGTTATGACATGGCTCATTTAACAGTCTTCTTTTCCATACTGATGGCAGTTTACCATTTCTCATTCTCAGGCTCCAGAGTGGAAAGAGGAGCAGAATTGCTTTGTGGGAAACAAGTGCTTTTTGTTTGTTTGTTTTTTAAAACAAAACAAATAACTTTATAATTTAGACCTTTTTTTGATGTGTGTATTAACTCACAATACACAGGTACACATCCCAGTTACTTTGAAACTTGGAATATTTCTTTCCTCCTTAGAATATCTAGCTCCTGTCCCTAGCTGAAAACCAAATGAAATAAATCAGAAAAAAAAAAAAAAAAAGGACAAACCAACTTAACAGAAAACAAACAATAACAATGAAAACACCATTGAGGAAAAATTCCAGTTTTCAAACAAAAGATCTAAAAATGAGTGTGTTTTAGTTTAATTTTAGAACAATTTTGGTTTTCTACACCTTTGTCTTGTGGAAGGAAATAGGAACGAAGGAAGTGAGGCTCAGAAATTGGTGAGGAGCATTGGTAAAAAAAAAAATGTTTTAACATTTACTTAGCTTTTTCCAAAGAAATGAGCATTATTTCAAATAAACATTTCTACCAAAAACATATATTGGTTGTTTTCTAGCTGAATACTGATTCACTGTTGTGAAATGTATGCTCTTTTGAGATAGACGTATTTTGTCTGTGATTTCTTAATAATCAGAGAGCTAGAAAAGATCTTAGAGACAATGTTACTTCATTTTTACAGGGAGGAGGATTGTTTTTTTCAGTTTTTCTCATATTCACAGAATTGTAAGCCTGTCTCTTTCTCTGTGTGTGTTTCACTTGATTTATTTCCCTAGTCTCCCTTCCCAAGGCCCACACTAGGAGAATGTGAACAAGAGTTCATAGAACAAAAAACAAAATGCAAACGCTGTTGTATCAGCACACGGAGAGTCATGTTAACGTGTTAACACCTTTGTGTGATTTGATGAAACTCATTTTAGTCATAGAATTCGTACCACCAAAGGCAGTGGATTTCATATCAGTTGTGCTTTTTATTGTCTATACTGGTTAAATGAACAATGTCAAAATATGTTACAAATTACATAGTTTCTTTATTAAGAGAATGATGCAACCTGTGCCATGAGACACTGGAGTATTTGGGAACAACTGTCTAGTTTCCTGCTAATATGCACTGAAAGAATACAGAGAGAGAGATTTATGGCGTCCTCTGGCAGGGCTGCTGGGAGACCTGACGGATGAATGGTGACAGGAAAGATGAGGGCCAAAGAGAGTAATGGCACTTCTGCCTGAAACAGAAGCTGGCAAGAATTTCCAGATATTTGTGGGTGACTTGATTCTGGATTCTGGTTACAAATTTCAAAAACTACGTTTTGGTTATTTTCCCAGTCATACTTTTCTAGACAATGTCTACTTTGTTGGGTCTATAGAAAAATGTGATATCTGGGTTTCCAGAAGTGGAACATTTTGTATCATCTTTAAACTGAACTCAGTTGCAGATTACATTTGAAAGTTTGTTATTGTGATAGCTTCTGCTGTACCAGCTCCCTGATACTAAACTCTACGGTAGCTGCCTGACTTTCCTTCCTGGGCCTTGCCCACAGAGTCGTTGGCCACTGCTGTATAATTTAATGTCTGTTTCGCTCCACACCGCAGTTGGGGAGATGTGTGGTTTTCTCTTGCTTCAGCATCTAGCACATGTTTTGGGCCCAGTAAATATTTTGTAATAACAATAGGCCCTGGAAAGAAGGCTCTGGCTGAGAGCTGCCT